TCATAATTCGGCGAGACTATAATTTATGGGAGAACCAACCACGTATAAGATAACGTCTGGGATTTTGGCGTGAAATTCACTCATCCATTTGGCTAAATAGAGTTTTGGCATTATAACTGATGTCAGTTTGCGATGAAAACTATAAATCTAATTTCTAACCTGAATCATCAACTGTAAATCATAATTATAATTCTTCACATAGGTTTATAACCCTCATTTGTCCTGGTTATTGGGTGGACGCTCTCAAGGTCAGTCTAGCGTCGCTCAAAGGTCGTCCATAAATTATAGTCTCACCCATAATTCATAACACTTCATAATCTAAACATATCGGCTTTACATTTTTGGCTACTGTCCTATCGCTATTACTACTGGCAAAATTGTCCTCACTTCAGTGTCCGTCATAAATATTTTACCTAACTTGGACTGCATATAACAATTTGAACTACGACACAACAACACCCTGTCTTCAGATTTTTGGATGTGATAACTCGTTCAACCAAACTGGAGCAGTTACCATAGGTCAATTTCTTCTAACTACGATCGCACGATATAAATTAAGATTATTCTATACGGATAAAGGGAGGATTTACCGCTTTAATTAATGAAAAAAGTTCGTATATAGTGTCTGTTTACATTGTAACCGTATGGCAATTTTAGGGTGGATAAATCAGTTATTAGAAGTCTTTAACAGAATGAAACGTAGGATATTTTCGCGAAATCAATTTATGTAAAAAATAATGTGAAGCTTTATCAGTATTTTAGGTTGAGAATAATGAAAGTCATTACTATTATACTTTTTGAAAGACAGATCGATTTTTGTTAATGGAAACAGCTGAAAACAAAGGAATGGATGAATTATTACTCTCTGCTTGAAAGACATCATACAGTTCATCTGAATATTAAAGGAAGTAGAATAAAAAAGATTTGTAGTCGTCGTCATACTGTATACTATCCAAAAAATATGTAGAAAAGAAAAGAACAAACAAGGCAGAAAATGCATACATAGTGGTTTGAATGAAACACATTAGTGTTCATTGATAACAAAAATCCATCATTCGATAAATGATCCATGTTAAATTGCTAGCCCGTAAGTATAATTATAGGAAATCAGCTGTGAAACGACTGGTTTTTTTCATATTGAGTGGAACACCGGGGGAGCTGTCGTAGCGGAAATGATGTTCTGTGCAAAAAAGATTGCAGCATGATGCACAATAATTACGATATAATTATTTCGGCTCTAATGAGTCTGACACATTGGAGTTTGACGCTTGATGTGGTTCACATAAAGTTGAATCGTCATTAGATAAATCTGGCGCAGCTGTATTAAAGTTTAAGCATGTAAGTTTTGTGAGGTCTGTAAAAACACATGGTCTGTTTTCATCAAAACCATCGTCATCATCGTAATTGTGGTAGGTGAAGGATTCATTGGATTGATAATTAAAACCACCTGAAGATATCAGTTCCGCTTCTATAGCAAGACGACGTTCACGTTCTTCTGAAAGCATTTGACGAACTCGACTGAGCTGGGATGCTAACATGTCCACCTTAAAAGTTCAGTAGGAGAAAACAAGATCATCACACCTTAAAACACACTGATAAAAAAGAAATCGATTTTAACCAGACGGTAGTTAGTTGATTTTCGTTGAGACATAATAACTGCAGGAACGAGTCACTTTTACTGACAACAATTTACAGTCGTAGCATTATGATTATGATACGTGCAGTTATTTAGATTGATTGGAAGCCAAAGTCGATTGAACTTTATAGCTTACATTACAAAATGACTTCAGACTAAAGTCAGTTCGTGACGTACACTATAAAATTTGAAAATTTCCAAAAATCTCTGGCATTAAAAATAGATTTAATTATGCAAAATACAGTAAATTCTACATAAACACTTGGCTCCTACGGTAAGAACAAAGTACTGATATCCCATTTGATAGCTGGGAACCAGGAAGATGTTTATTCAGAGTAATTATTAAAGTGATGCAATATTTGTTGATGAATGACTACTTGATACACTATTTAAGTATGGGTTTGGATTTTCAGCTTTAAGCTACACTTTATGTGTAAGGGTTAGTAATTCTACCTAAGTGACTGAACAGAAGTAAGTCTAGATGAATAGGAACCTGTGACCTAATGTTTGAAAGTCGAGCACTTCAACTGCTAGGCTACTTTCCCTCTCCTCCATTAACTTAGGTTCAAGCAGCTGTGAAATGATATGAGCTGCTCATATAAGTGGCTTAAAGACAAGTATGTAACCTGTACGTGGGAAAATGAGTATTATCAACAAATAACTGCTTTTTTTTGGAGACCAATAGCGTAATCTGCACCTCAATATCTAAATTAAGCCGGTGAAGTGAGGTCTTAAAACGAAGGATGGAGTTAAATAGTTGGATAAAGAGATAAACATGGGGGGGGGAATGGAAAAAACTATCAGCAAAGTGGTCTTACCTTAAATTAGTACACACAAGAGATGAATTCGAGTGAAAGTAACAACTGGATTACAGTGATAGGAATTGGTGAAACAAGACCAATTCCATTAATGAATAGATAAAATGTCAACTATTTATCTAAATGGATTTATATTTCAGATTATTGCTCAAAACAGTTGTAACCACTTTTCTTCAGCCTATCTATATTCACCATCCTGCTCAAAACTCATTAGGATGAGTGTCTCAACAAATACTTATTCGCCAGAACTCCATAAAATATTCTGAAATTTCTGTTAGGAGTTTCTAATCAAAACTACTGCTATCTTCACGTCAAATCGAACCTTTTAGGTTAATTATGAATTAATATACCCTCTACAACATAGTTGATTTATATATACAAACACAAAATTTTCACTATATAGTCGGGTTCGAAGAAATTTCTAGCTATAAGTTTTGAAAACTACTCAGGAGTATGGCTAAAAATAATCCCGAAGATCTAATAGTCGCCAAATACCCTATACATGTTTATTCATGGATTAGTTAATCTATCCAGGAGTTAACGACCGTGACAAGATGAGACGCCTGAGAGATTACAATGAAAACATGGTTTACCATAACCCTCTTATTAGATTAAGTAGCGTGACAGACAAACAGAACAGAAGCTGAGAAACAAGTTTATGTTCGTTGCCATTCACAATTTATTGTGATCTTAAACAATAAAGAGGCATCACTTTTTCATTTTCACAAAAATTGAAGCATCAGATAAGTGACCCTTGATGGATTAAAGGTGTGAAGTCGAAAACGCAGTAATTGTCTTGCTCGTTTCTGACAAAAGTTTGACTTAGGATATGCAGTTTTCGCTGGGCGGGGAGAGATGAGATTACGAGTTTAGGAAACTTTTCTGAACAAGTGATTAAGTTGGATAAAAATCATTTGTTTTTCCCTAAAAAAAACTCACAAGTTTTCGAAGTTCTTCGATACAGGTAACCAATTCTTCACGTGTTTGAAATTCAGTTTTAGGAAGTTTAACGGCAGCTCCTTGTTCCTTTTTATTGGACGTTTGATTTGAGGATAAAGGTAAGTATGACGGAGAGTCAGCTGATTTTCTGTTATAAAATGAATGGTCAGCAGGAATTGTCTTCAAAGAAACGTTCTGGTCACCAGATATTATTTCTGTCTTCCTTGATACTGCCTCACTTAAACTCAGTTTCAGTGATGATAACTGTAAATCAATAATTACATAATCATGATCGCCCTCTTCAACTTCGTCTCGGGTTAGCTCCATGAAGGCTTTAGAAAGTAATAGAAAGTTTGATAGTTATAGGCTTAATATCGACTAAGGAGAAAATAGCACTGTGTTACACATGAGCAGTTCAAGTTGGGATAATTCCTAGGATTAGTGGCTTTATTTATAGATCCAGATTGCATTTGCACTGAGCAGATAAACATAAACAGCACCGTAACTAGTGTAAATAGGAAGCGATAGAATTTGCCACACGTTTAGCAAAAGCATAACCACAGAATCGTAACAAGATGAGTGTCGAAAATGAAAGTGACTATACTTATCAGTATAAAAACTAAAAAGTATCAGTGGACAGTCTAGAATTCTTAAAGCACCATAAGAAATACGAACATATGCAGAGACGAGACAGTGATGACTACGATTTATATAATCACTTTGGTTCATAGAGATATATACATATACATACACATATACATACGTTCGAATGCCAGCAAAGTTAAAAGCATAAATATTGGGCACACATATAAGTGAAGACTGACATTAGATCGAGTGCCAAAAGAACATTAGTTGCTTACCAATAGACTTTTTATAGTAATAGATCGCTCCGTCGATATTTCCAACCTTCATACACTGTTTAGCACATCGCTCATTAAAGTGAGCCTGATGAAGATTAAAAAGTTTTGAAAATTTTAGGAAATCGTTGATACTGTATTGGAATTTGTAGCATTTACAAAAAATTTAACATACCGCACTAAGATTGCTATGCATTTCAACAAGTAGCTCCATATGCATAATTAAAGGAAGCGCTTATTTCCGTCGTTTTTGACCTTGAAAAGAAAAACCTTGTTTTCGCTTTCTAATTGGTTCGATCTTGTGACCTTGGAGGGTACTCCCGGTTTCGTTTGCCTACTGATCGTTAAGATAATATTTCTCCTCAATTTATATGTTTGGCCTCCAACACTGTTTATCATCATGGTCCATCAACTGACGTGTTATTTATTACTTCCAAAGAGGCAGAAGATCCATTGGAATAACCTTATTTCTTACTAGACCCTAGTTACATTGCAGTAAAAATTTCAAGTGACCTGTTCTTTTCAATCAAATCTAGGCACAGTTTGCGTGACTATATCTTGCCAAAGTAGTTTTCAGGGTTAATATTATCTGAGTTTCTTCCTAAAAAGTTCGGATCTCTCATTCTCCTTATTTCACGATTGATGGATGTTATGTGCTTCACGAATTCTCCCTACCAGATGAAGTAAACGGAAATCCGACGTTCGTTGTTTACATATCTGGAAATTATAAATCATATACTTCCTGAGAATATGGCCAATGAAATCTCTGGAGCACAGTCATTAGACGATTATCACGTGTCTTTCGATTCATTTCATTCAGGTGAAACTCCCAAAACAGCATCTGACGCCACAAAGTTTTTTCTTATTGATGCAAATGAAGTTCTAAATACTCCAACTGCAATATCTAAGACTTCAAGTTCAGGGGGATTGTTTTTTGCCGATGATTTTCACAAACGTCTACCTGTCCTCAACTCACTTCCAAATGACCACCATTCTTCAGTAGCAGTAGAATGCGAACATCCTAATGCAACCGGTGAGTGGTCTAAACGTTTTCCTGGCCGTATTATAACTCTCGGTAGTTTAAATATGGTCCTAGCTAACTTGTCTGTCTACTAAGTTTCGTTATCATACAAACTATTTCAGCTGCTTTATTATGTTATTTGTCCGGACTTCTTCCAATTTTGTGCTTAGTGACATGACTTAACTGGTCCATGGGACTATTGTTTTTCAAGGTATTGTTGAACCCCAATTAAGCGTGGATGTCAATAATCGTGTCTCAAACGCACGAACAATCCTAGTGTGGTCACTTTCTTGACTTCATCTGACCAGTAAGTTGAGCCAAACTCATATACCTTTTGTATATCTGAAGACATGTTAGTGAATTTTCCCTGTTCGAGCACAACAGCGAATTTGAAATCAGAAAAAGCACCTCTCGGCAGGATCGTTTTCGAAAGTTGCTTGTATGCAGTCCGTCTCTATGTTACAATAGGAGTTAAGAGTGACAAGGTCACGAGCCATTCCTTCCTTGTTTTTACCTATATGTATAATGACTGTAGCTTAGACGGGGTAAAAGAATAAGTCTTACAGGATACTGTGACCTTCGGGAAGTTTAGGTAACTTTAAGCGAGGAAGTTGAGTGGGTCCTGGTGGACTAACCCCAGAGGTCTTTTATGGTAGTAGTCCACTTTTAGCCGCTAAGTTGACCGAGTTTGGCAACTAAACGTAGTAGTGTTGAAACTTCTGTATTCTATAATTATCAAATTCTTATCTAGTACTTGGCAAGAGCAAAGTTGTTTAACTGGGAAGCTTCTGACATGGATGTGAATGTAATTACTAGATGTTCACACTTCACCAGGTTTTAAGCACAAGGATACTTACCGACGCCCAACCATAGTTTTATTCCGTGACATCAAATTGGCTTTCTACTGTTAACGAAGAGATTTTATGACTGATTGTAATTAAAATATGGAACAAAGTGTATCAACCTTGTGAAGAATCTACTTGACCACCATTGGTTATCAGTGTTGACGGCAAATTATTGTTGAAATGGTCAACATCGAGTGGTGTTTTTCACGACTGTTCACTATCTCTCTTTCTATTTAATCTCACCGTAGATATATCCTTAGAAATAACATGTTCTTCCTCTATAGGGGGGCAATCTCGAACCAAGAGGTTCACTTATCGTCAAATCATGAAGTGATGACAGTCCATAAATTCATTAACTATTGGAATGTATGATAGTTTTCCACACTACCTAGTTGGGGTCCATGAGATAGCCCTAATCAATGTCTGGAGACTTTTAGTGACATTGATCATAATTGTTTACAATGGCGTAGATGCATTTACTCTTAATCTTCCTCTCGATCATGAAATCCAGTATTCCTTCACATTTACTCTCACTATTTCCTTTCGAACTATATTCTCAATGCTTACTCTTTTTCATCGTCAATACTGCCACATTATTTAATCTCTCCTGATATGTAGCTTTTTAGTTCCATCATCATACTAATATAGTATGAAGATTTAAACTAATACTACGTTGATGACGATTGACTGACTAAAGCTGATATAAATTCAAGTGATTGAACAAAACGATAAGATCTATGAAAGGTCTTTTATAATCGTCCAAAGTTTTGGATTAAGAAATTCCAACTAAACTTTATTATATCCCTGAAAAGAGTTGTGGTAGTCATTTGTTGAATCTCTGCTGAAGTAATATTCAATAACAAGTATAAGGAAAATGAATAGATCACATCTTTACTAACTAATATCAGAAAAAGTCATGAACATGCTTTTACACCTCTGGTCAGTCATAATCAACGTAAAGCTTGGAGTAAATTCGCACTAGACCAAGTTGCTATACCAAATTAACACAACTAAGTAAAATTAACAAGATGGATAATAAAAAGTTCATAATAATATTGAGAAGAATCAAATATTGAACATATATTGTTCGTTAAAAAAGGAATGAAGACAAGGTATGTTGAGAAGAATACTGAGAGTGTATCTGCTACACTGCAGCGGATCCTGAAACAAGTGGCCCAAGAGTTTCAACAACTTATCACTTAGACTTCAATCATTTAATCAGCACCTACTAATACGACTCCGTTTCAGTCAGTGATTTCATAAACAATTGCTGCCTTGGTTTGGGCGTCCTTAGCTTTTTCTCAGCCGTCATTACATGTCGCTTTGGACGGTCTCTGAGGGTATGTAACACACCTCAACCATCTCACTTTATAAAGATTGATAGTTTCATCAACCGACTTATCGAGGCCATGTTTCGTAGCCATAAAATAAGACGAAGACTACTCTATAAATTGGGCAGCGAAAGGAAAGGGGATTGAAAAGGCGGCGGCTGTAGGTAACACAAGACAGCTCTTCGGACTAACAAAAGAAACTGGAATTAATAAGTTAAGTGCAAGTGAGACGATCTCGGAAAAAGACGACACTCTTGTCTACTCTCAGCCCAGACGTTTACAACAATGGGCGGAACACTTTAGAGAACAGTTCAACTGGCCTTCAGCAACTCTACAACTACCCACCATTCCCAGACAGCGTGAATGGAGCATTGAATAGGTCACCCGACTCTAGCTAAAGTTCAAAAGGCTATAGCTAATCTGAAGTGGGGAAGAGCAGCTAGTCCAAATGGATTGGCTCAAGAGATCTTTAAGAATGGTTGTTCAGTTTCAGCGATTAGGTTGACTAGCATTTTGGCTAAAATCTGGGAGTTGGGCTTAATCCCATCTGACTGGTTACAATCCCTGATTGTCCCAATATATAAGAAGGGGTCAGAATCATGTGATAACCATAGAGGGATTAGTTTGACTAACATAACACCTAAAATACTAGCCTCATTAATTATCGAGCGCCTAACTATGACTCATGAACTGCAAACACGTGAAAATCAGGCTGGCTTCAAACCTGATTGTGGCTGCACCGATCACACATTCACCATTAGTCAGGTTCTAGAACACAGGCATGCTTATCGGCGTCGATAATGGTTGTCTTTCTAGACTTAAAAGCAGAACTTGACTCTGTTGACCGAGAGGTTCTGTGACAGTGTCTGTCATTGAAAGATGTACCTCAGAAGTATATAAACCTTGTGAGGGCTCCTTACTCGAACACTACCAGTCGAGTCAGAGCTTGTGGCGAACTGTCATCCGATTTTTCAACCTCAAGTAGTGTCGGGTAAGGCTATCCACTATCACCATCTTTACTTGATTTCACCATGGAGCTACTGCCCGAAATAGCGTTCTTGTTGACCGAATCTTCGGGAATCGATCTTCTGGGAGGTCCATTTATCGACTTAGGATAAACAGAAGATGTAGTTCTGTTTGGTGAAAAGGCTGATGAAATACAGTTTTTTGGTAGCACTGAGCAACAATACCGGGATGTTTGGGATGCGTTTCTCCCCCCTGAACACATTACCACGACGCGCAATGCTAACTAGTGTTGGAGACAGTTGGAAGAAAGTTAGGGGCGGCCAAACCTAAACGTAGCATCAGTCCGTAACATCACTGACTTCATGTCTGAGCCATGTTGGTGAATGCAGACTACTTGTGTGGGGTCCGCGAGGCTATCGTAACCAATGGTTGGAGACTCTGGGTGACATGGCTCAGAATCGACCACAATTGTGTAGGTGTATGCACTCTCTGTCATCCCTTAAACTAAAGAGAATAAAATCGCTTCATATCTTTCTTTCTGCTAACTAATTCTTTGTTCCTGTACTATGTCCTTATATGCAATCTTTCTTTTATATACTACCACCATTGAATTAACTACTTGTATGAATTCGATGTTAATCTTGTTGTGCTAATGACTTTTGGCAACTTGGACCGGTGCATATATATGCCTGGTCCTACGTTGTAGCTGACTGACTGTCATATAAATGACTCTTAGTAGACTAATAGGTATCTCACTCACTATAGAGTGCGCTCAAATTCGCGAAAACCAAGTGAGGTTTCTTAATCAGTCAATATCCCATCGTGCACCAATCTTTAAGGACTAATAAAACTGTCAAGATAGGTGAATTAGTCAACACGCTCGGCTATATCTTAATTCAGATCATTCTTGGAACAACACTTTAAACTTGAAGGGAGAGGAATAAATGTGTTTAGTATTAGATGCCACCACTATCTATTCTCTATTGCTTCCTTTGGGCACCACTTCTTCTAGCATGTAAGTCCTTTGTCAGTCTGTATTTGTGTCCTTTCACTCATCATACTTTAAACGTGGCAAGATAAGTTTCAGACTACTTAGCAATTTAATAGAAGCTTTCGAAATACATGGGTCTTTCTTAACCTTTTAATTTGGTTTAAGGTCTTGTATAACTGCAGCATATACTATGGTTGATGTCAATATGATGTATTTATGTCTATCAGGTTAGGCATTATCGCTCCTTATCCCTACAGTTAATACACTAGAAATTATAGGATCGATATACTACACGATTCACCCAAGTGTATTTCGGGTACGTTACGTTCATCAGAGTTACCAACTTTCCCCACTTTTATTTAATCGTGACAGACATTCTTTAAGAGGTAACTCTTTTTTCTACTTTTCGAGTATTTGTCTACTAGATTCACTTATTGACTTAGAATACGCATATGTCATAATTTGATAAAAACACTAACAAGATGAAAATCTGATCAGCACTGGTAGGTTAGTGCTTGAAAAAGTTTTGGTACGGATACAGTGAACTCACCAACTTTCACACCTGCACCACAAGTGGAATTTCTGTCCGTCAATAAAAGAGTGAGTATTTTGCTCATCAGTTTCCTCCGTATTAATATATGGCTGCTAACCATGATCATTTGAAGTAGAAGACACATATAGGTTCCATGTACTTGACCGTATGTGCATTCAGAGCTCGTTTTCACGTTGAGAACTACCAAGTGAGTGGTCTTGGGTTTATGTGGAAGTTATTGGGAAAAAAGGACAAGTCCATCAATGAGCCTGTAAACCCACACAGGCTGAGGTGGTTGAACTGTGTGTTAAATATACTTAATTATCTATCATCCCGATATTGAATGTTAGCTGGTATGGGACCAAGTTGACAAGAATTTATAAACGTGCAAAAACATGGGATCTTTCCATGAACAATATAAGATTATGTGCTGTTAGAGGTGTACTAATGGTTAGTACTTTCCAATTATCCACATCTCGGAAAGATACTTTTTCAGGAATGTAAATGGAGACCAGTTTGGTGATAACATTGCTTAGAAGCATGATCATAGAGCCTGTGAGATAACTGCTTAAGATTGGTTACGCGTAACTTTTTTGTGAATAGTTTCTGGAACCATTATCTTTTTACTCCCTAGAGATTACCTTCAGCATCAGAAATCCATGGGTTGATGTGTTTTCAGTGCTAACTTCATTCCCAATCCATTACAGTTTCTGTTCTGCAGCAGCTGTGATCGGTAGTACATGTAAAATGTCTTGGGTACTTTAATAGCGATATGCACTCATGAATCCCTTTACTTTCGAAGGTGTGAAAATGATGAGGTTGGTTTGAGAGAAGTGTAAGTCAAAATCCAACAAGTTGCCGGTGCGGTAATGCTAAAATTTTTAATGAAGTTGGTAAAAAAGTGATTTTCCGCACTGGCATTTCTTGTAATATTTTGAGAGGTAGTAACTACTGCGTTGTAATTCTTTAAATTGTTTGTCCTGGATGGTACAAGTAATAAGCCTTCTTTATCATTGCAGGTTTTTGGTATAGATTGTTAAATTTCTAAGAGATTTATTTTGTGAGGATATGTTAATGGTAAATAAACACCAGCTTTTTATTTTTAAAAACAGATAATACTGAGAAACCTGGTGTTCCACATGCAAATCCTGAGATTTTACAAACAGAAAACTTGTTTATACCCCAATTTGGATTAAATCAGCAATCAGAAGTTAACACATCAACTGGGTCGTCTGTGTTATATTTAAACCATCTTTCTCCTGATAGTACTACAGCAAAAATTGATTCTGTGCCTGTTTCATTGAAATTGGAATCAGGTGATAATACTGCAGCGTCTTTCCAAGCAGTTATTACTAAAGCTGATAATAATGCTACTGTTGGACTGAATGATTTGCCACTCTTAACTAGTGCATTATCAAATCTTGAAAACACGTGCATCACTGTTGATCAGACGGCTGTTTCACAGTCGAATTACCTGACAAATAGATCTACTACTACAACCGCCAGTCTACCGACGATATCTAGCGCTGTTATCCTTAGTAATGTTGGCCTTACACAAAATCCTTGTTTGTCTGTTTCGGCAGACACTAATCCTGTTTCCGGAATAGCTTTTTCAACTAGGAATCAGCCTCCTTACATACCAGCCCCACTTGTTCTTGGAAACGGGCTAACACTAACCACATTGTTGACTGCTGAGAACAGCAGTGGTCTTCTAACACCTACAACTCCCAACACTGCTTTCTTGCCACTTCTTGCATCCCCTGGTCCCGGAGGTTTTTATACACCTGGAGTGTTAACTGGTCTAGCTAATCCGACAGGTACTTTTTCATTTCTATCCCCCGTTCCTAACCTATTGGCAAGTGGTAATGCGGAAGCAGCTAATATTTCCATCGGTGGGAGTTTCGCACAGACTTCTGTTACAGCGGATACTATAGTCAAGCAAGAACATATGTGCTTCACTGACACAGTAACAGTTGATGATGGTTTAATCAATACAACACATAAATCCGTTATAAATAATCCTCCTGAATGTGCACCTGATACAACGGTTGTCACTGAAGATGACGTTGGTGATAATGAGTATTTATCTAAATCCACGCTGAAAGGTGCTGGTATCTCAAGGAGGCGCAAATCGACAACTCGTAATAAGAGTCGAATAGTTAGAGGAGAATATGGAGTTCATTCTGAAATAGAAATTCAGGCAGGAATAACATCTAGTATACCTGAAAGAATATCAGAAAAGCCTCACAAATGCACTTCATGTAACAAATGCTTCTCACGATCCGATGAACTTACAAGACATGCAAGAATTCACACTGGTGCTAAACCTTTTAAGTGTGCTGAATGTCAAAGGGAATTTTCGCGTTCAGATCATCTAACTACACACATGAGAACACACACTGGTGAACGACCATTCGTTTGCGATATATGTGGTCGCAGTTTTGCTCGTTCTGATGAACGTAAGCGTCATACAAAAGTGCATCAAAAAAGTAATCAAAAACTTCCTAACTGTGACTTGAAAGTGAATGTAACTAAAAGTCCAATAACTTCAACCTCTGATCCTAAGACAAACTGTGGCGAGAAACGTAGCGTCCCACAAGCGACAAAATGTTACGACACAGCTAAAAATCCTCGTAAACTGAAAATAGATCTGGCAGATAGCTCTACTTTTCAGTCTAAACCTATAAGTGTGGAAAAAGTAAGTGTACTTAACGATGGAATCAGTGTTAATCAACCTGTCCCAGAACAAAGATTACTTCTCGCTACTTGTGATTCTCATCCCGGGCAGCTTACTTTACATGCTTTCCCTAGTGCTACAGGTTTAGGTGGTTCCAGTGTCATATCGCCCCACTCGCAATTAGTCTTTGCAGCTTTGCCTTCTATGTCACTCTCCGCAGTTCCTATTTTGAGTCAAGTTAACACTGAGATTGCAAACACTTTCAATCTTGCCACCGGAACATTTGCTACACAACCTCATGGTCACTTTTTGGCAATGTCATCGACACCACTGTCGAGCTGTATTTCTAATTCTTCAACTGAAGGTAATATAGTGGTATCACAGAACCAATCTGTTTCTTCAGTCTCCCCAAGCTTTGCGTTATTATCTACCATCCCATCACAGCATCAAAATGAAATGAGCACAGAATGTGTGCATGGTACTTCCATGAACAATGTGATATCATCGACGTGCATCACAACACCGACCATGCCGAATTGTTACACTATCCGTGCTTCACTTTTTCCCCAACCAGTTCAAACATATCCTTCCGGATTTCACCATTCTCAAACTTCGCCCTATTTCACTGCTATAGCCTGTTCTCCGGACGGCCTGACTGCTAATCAAGCTGGCGCATTTTTCGCTCCTATGATAGCTCCCACTCAGTTACCCGCTAATACGACTGTTTCAGGCACCGATCTCCCTACCAGCTTCCATCCAGCACAAGCTAATCTTCAGCCGGAATTTGTAGCTACAGCTGATGGTGTTTCTCCTACCAGTTTACTTACAGGCACCCCAACATGTATTTTTATTACTCCGAATCCGTAAGGTAATTCGCTTCATTTTTATGCTTCATTAGCTTCGATTTCTTTACTGTCTTGTAACTTTGTTCTACACTCATCAATAATATCTATTCTCTTGCTGTTTATGTATTCTGTTGTTTACTAAATCTGTGATTTCGGTCCACAACTTTGAGTGTCTATGTAGGGCTGTGTCACATTTATTTCGTTATATTTTCTGCATGCTGATTTTGCAGAAACAAGTGAATACCGTTTTTCCTTAACTTGACTTTTGATGTGTAAACAATTGTAAATGATGCTCAGATGAATTTTCTATTGGTAAACATACACTCTAACGTATTGATTCTATGAAGTCAAGTACCCAATGTTTTTATCTACCTGTCAGGTTTTTTGGTTCACAACGAAGTTTTCTGTACAATTAGTTTTGTTTGTGTTTATGCATGCTTATCTAAAACTATTTCATATTTTAACTTGTAAATGTTTCTTTTTTTGAACGACCTCACTTTTATTGTTCACGAATTGTGTTTCTACATAGCAATAAGTTATTTTTTATTCTTAATTCCACAGATATTATTTAAACTAGTATTTCACGTGAGCAAGACTTAGTTTATTATCTCCTATAGAAGCGCCCCTTGTATTTCTTGATATATGTACACCTACTTAACGTTTTACACCCTATTGTCCTGTCAATGTTTTTTTATTGTTACCATTATTCATTTTGAGAATACAAATGCTTTTTAATTTCAGTATATAATATCAAGCACTTCAACACAAGTTTTTCTTTTAGTCATTTTACAGTATTATCTTATAATTCGGTAATGCATTGAGTTTTGTGCGTACATACATAACTGATATCATGTATACCCTTTGTTACCTTTTAAAAACATAAATCTTCAGATTATTTAGGACTTACTGGATACGTTGTAAAAAAGAGCTTTAGTATCGATCAGTTTACATAGTTGATTGTTTCTCTGGAAATTAAAGTACTTACGAAATGAAAATTCGATTCAAATTATTGGATTCTGTTGTCATTTGTCTTAAATCTTCTCGTTTATGGTACACATCACGTAAAACCTATTGTCTAGTGATATGAACCAGTGTTTACCGAGATACAAGTACTGAATTAATTAATATTTGAATCCGCTCATAATCTAAAATGGTTTTACTAATGGTGGCTTTTCTTAATGACAGACTTTAAATTTCACACTCTGTGCTACTATTCATCGTAATCAACCAGCATTTCCTTTTCTAAAGTGTCAATTATAATTTTATTTGAATCCCGTCCAAGTTAGTCTATATTTTAAAAATAAAACTACGTCTAAGCTGTTTTCTGTGAAGTTAAATTTCGTTTGATACATAATCTTAACATTTTATTTTTATATCAATAGGTAACAGATAAGACTTTTACCATGATACTCTGTAGTTAATTAAATAAATAGAAAATTAGGATTCTTCATTGATGTATGGTGGATATGGAGAAATCATATTTCGTTCAACGGCAATAGACAAGGCTGTTCGAAATAATTGTTCTGGTCTTGAGAATAAATTATGAGAGTAAAACATGACTAGAAATTTTTGGCAGCCTCTGACTGTACCGCTTGTATGATAAATGTCGATTACCGATTTCCTTTTTTGTCCATCTGTTAAATAAATTAAAGCGTATTTCAATGTTTTATTTATTTATATATAAACTAGTTCAAATAAGATTTTGTTTTTCTCACATTCAGTTTATGCATCGAGGGAAATAATTACAGATGCTAGTTAAGGTTTATCATATTTTCCGCCGTAGCACATTGTAATGTATGATGCCTTATGCTTTGTATCTTAATAATTACAAGCTAAAGATTCAAAGAGTTGATGCCACATGACATATGAAACATTTACCCCTTTCTGATATATATATATATATAAATTTTCAAAGTAAAATAATTCTTTAGACTTACTGAGATCTAAGTGAGTAACCAAAGAGAGTGCTGTTTGGACGTAAACAGACATGCTACGAAGGCAACGTATAATCAATAAACCGGAAGCAGGACACCAGTGAATTACTCTTAAGCGAGACATACATTTACCGACTCCAAGTGAACCGTGTGTAAGGGTGATGTTTTGTTTTATCATGGCTAATAAATCAGACTCGCTCAAGCGCATCGCCGCTGTATCCTCCTTTTGGCAGCCAGGATAACCTGGTATAAATGAATTGGAATTTTGAGGTTGAATCGAAATGAAACAAACGAGGTATCGATTTTTGATACGTACCATTGGGTCTAGAAATAAATTAGAAATCATACCAGGTCAGTGGTAAAGAAATTAATCTTACATTATTACTTAATAGTCAACGTCATCTTGAAATACCAATAGGATTTACTTGTTGAGACAGTATTGAAACTTAACAAGAAACAAACATGCATGAGTAATGTCGATTTGATTGAAATACTTAACATATATACAGGATGTCCAAAAGGGTATTTTAACCAAGATTTAATTTAAATCAGCTTTGGTTACGAATAATAATATAGAATTTAAATATTTGGACTTCATTGTTTGAACTGTTTTTTAGCTTGACAAACGTTTTACTGATTGAAATCATGAGTCAGTTGAAGCTAGACCACCATTGGAAACCTGGAAGCACTGGACGGCCGTTTCGTCCTAGTATGGGACTCCTCAGCAGTGCGCATCCATGATCCCGCACCACGCGGGGCTCGAACCCAGGACCTACTGGCTTCGCGCGCGAGCACTTAACCATTAGACCACTGAGCCGGCATCCATCGGTGTTAATGTCTAACGTTTTACTGTTATGCAGGACCTAGTTTTGTTGCGATTTTACGTAATTTTGGCAGCAAAAAATTCGTCTTGGAAAGAATGGTTAATGAAATCGAGATTTTTGATGAAAAACTCATTACTACGACACAAACTTGACCATGTGAACCGCGATATTCTTCACACTTCGGCGGGTTTCTAAATGCGCTATTAAACTATCGACTCGACAGTTTGATGAATTATAACAAATTCGTTATCACTGGTGTCAAACACTGTTGGAAGTACATTCATTATTTCTTCGATTGACTCAACAGATATGTAATAAACAAAACTAGGTTTCGGCGATGAAATTTCACCTTTTTTATTATATAGAGTTTGGGATAAACAGTTAGTGGTGTACAACTTCAACTGAACATATTTGCATTTTCGCATCGATCCAGTTTTCAGTTACCTAGAAAGCCCGATCTGCCGTCGTAAAAATCCAGGGATAACTTGAAAATGACTGAATCTGGAGGTAGACATGCATACGACGTCTGACAGTGGTAGACGCTTTCGCTCTAGTCTAGGCGAGATGTTAGTCTACCTGTTAAACTACGTCCGGTTCGTATATTGGTCAGGTTCTACATTGTTCTTGACTAGATGTCAAAACCACATCACTGGAAAAATGCTTTGAATGGTAATGTTAAGTTTTTTCCTCGAAAACAAAGTACAATTTATTTTGTTGACTGAACAGCTACCTGTGTACCTAATATAGTAGGACTAAATTGAGTACACTTGTCCATATGTTTACACCAACAAGGCTGGAAATCAAGCTATCAGAACATTAACATTGAACCAAAGATTCAATCTGTTAAACATTCACCAAACTAACTGGGAAATTCATTAAATACAGAGATGAAATATGTTTTATCGATTGTCCTTTTTTGCATAAACATTGAATCGATAACACTCAGATACAAATATGAACAGTACAAACATTTACGCTAAACCATGAAAACATAGGTCAAGATTTTTATGATTTTAGTTGGGTTGGTTTTGATGGATAAAGGCCTAGATATATTTGGCTAACCTAGAGTGTGTCTATAACTCAATGACTTGAAGTTTCAGTCTAACCGATTTGTATGATGATTAAAAACCTGACGGACTTGGGGCTTGAACAGAGAATACGACAAGAAGCACCGATGACTAATTTAGATTCAGAAACCAAGGATATTTATAAATTTATATTTGACCTTGGTGTTCGAAAAGCCGGGAACATGCCAAAATCAATAATCATCCAGACGGAATATGACGATCCACAGCTTTTCCGGAACACTGGGGATTTCCCGTCTAATCCTGACTAGATGAAGTGTTTTCCGACTTTTCCAGCTTCTAAAGACTTTCGAGTTCTCAAGGTTTCTTATAAGTGATACTAATACTAGATTCTGGAAGACTTTATGACATCAATTTTCCGATATATAAAATGACATTTTACCAACTCTTCAGAGCTGAGATTTTCTAAGAGGAATAATCAAGATATTTCTCGAACTCGTTGCCTATAGTCAGAATAGGTACTTGCGATGAGTCGTGAAACAGACGATTACATCTGAAAAGAAACGCATCAGGAATGTTTCTCTATCGTTACTCAAGATGTTCTAGAAACTCCACATTGTCACTATCTTCAATACACAGAAATACATCCTTTCTCAAGATATGTTGTTTTTTACCAGTCAAGCTTAATGACGTAGAACTTGTCACATATATAGATCGGTTCAAGTTGTCATGCCACATCAGTACAGAGAGACGAAACTAAAAAGATGAATATCAAAGAAGTGTAGTTAGTAGTATCCATAGTAAAAAAAAGCAGTTTAGATATAGAGCACATAATCTGAGAAAAGGCGAATTTGCGGAATAAAATAATTCTGAAACTCAGGATCTGTGGGTAAATAAGGAGTAAATGCATCACGTTGGTACGGCTGATTTTGAGGCATATCACACAATGTTTCCAAACACTGATCATGATTATCGTACGAACCTCAGCCAGTTGGTGAGTCTGGACCTAAAAATATGGAGTAATCTAAGTCTATGACTTGAAATCAGCGATAAAAGTAATGATGAAAATGAACAACTGGTATCGCAGAAGAGTCCATAAGAGCATAAAGCGAATCTCTGCATAGTGAGGATATTGTGGATGCTACAGGTGCAAATTTATTCTACCCTTTGTCATAGTAAATTTTAAAAGTGATGAGCCATAGAGAAGAGCATTCAGACAAGAAGAACTGATCGTATGAAATAATTTATTAACACATCGTGATATACAAACTATAGACATAACAGAAATTAGCATACAATTACACTTATGTTATATGTAAGTAGAAAATAACAATTAATAAGTATTGAATAAGTCTAGTGCTATAAACAGTCATTAGTACTCACAGAAAAATGAATAATTCCAACAGGATTGAAATTGTTACTCAATGTAGTTTAGTATCAAGTGAAATCTCCCATAATACTTGTACGTATTGCAAAAAATATAAACATATTTAAGTCGAATATGGTCCAGATACTGTTAAAACCAACCAAAACTCCGTTAATCATTGATAGTGTAGTACGCAAATCATACAATACAATTGTTTTCTATCAAACGTATGAAATTATTATTTTACAAGGTTAATAAGAGTGTAATGAAGAAATATTGAATTACACATACGATTACATACAGTAAAATTTGACAAATAATCTAGTATATCAACCATCATATTATATGTAAAAAAAAATAAATAGGAAGGTGGAGAAATAAAGCTGAGAACAGAAATGAAATTTCAACAAAAACGAAATTAAAAGTTTGAGAAACATTATACACTAGCAGTGACGGCAAGAATTTTTGTAAGACTTTTATTCATGATGCATAACGCTTTAAGATACATGAATAAAATTCGGTATTCAATTGGATGTTATTCAGATATAGTTAACAGTAATGAAAAATCATTCAAATTATATTTAATTAACTAGTAAACAGTTATCAAAAATGAAAATGTCGATTTGCATTGGGGAAAAAAGCGCTCAAAATAAATTATAAATTAAACAAGCGACAATAGAAATGAAGTAGTTTATCACATTATTATAAAGAATTATTCACGCAATTAATAACCAACCAATAAAAAATATAGCAATAAATAAACATATTTTTGACATTGTTTCTGAATCAGCTCCCCAAAAATTGTCTGGTGGTATTGCTCGGTTGCTGACGCCATTAACATTATGTGAATTCGCAGGATTGCTATTACCTCCTAAATTGAATGTTGTTGACAAGAAACCGAATGGAAATGCACCAATGCCCACAGACATTCGGAAATTACCTCCATCAGATCCCCCGAACAATCCTCCCCATGTACTTCCAAAGCTTCCAACCCCCGGTTCTGGTTCAGTACGTCGACCAGCTGGGCGGGGAGGAATTTTAGTACGAGGGTCTTGTGTATGGTCCGCACCACGTCCATAAAGGGGGATGACCTAATGAAGGAAATTGAATAAAAATATTGTAATTTGATTACGGATATAACCGTACAATTTTTCATATTTGAGTAAAGGAAGAACAAGGATCATGTATTCTACTCAGTGGCTTGTAACATACAAACAGTTATTGAAAACGAAATAAGCATAAACCATATTAAAAAGGTATTGAATAAAACTGAGAATAATAAAAAACAATAATTGTAAGAGAATTAAGAATTGTCTAAACGCTCGCTTGTAGAGATAACCAATAAGATAAAAGTTAAAATATCACGGAGACAATTTTCTTTAGAAATAGAAGATATGTGGCAATGATTACGTAAAACCTGGAAAATATAGAATTTTCGAGTGAAGCTCAGAAATACAAAATACGGAATGAGATATCACAATAAGGATCATGGAAATGTTACGCAAGGCTTCTATAGATGAGATGACTGATGACAAATGACTAACCGTTCGGGGACTTTTAACCTATTCCGATTAACTAAATATAAACGATTAGTGTTGGTTGTTGCCGACATAGATGAATATACGTTACCTGAATTTGGTTACTACAATTTTTTTAAAACGACGTGGGACTTACATTATAGGTGGAAACTTTAATATTGTTTGTGACTGGAATTAATTTGAAATATTTATTTAGTTTATGAAACAAAATTTTCGATTATAGTGAGATCTGAAGGTATTATTGTGCTACTGAAAAACGTAATAGTAGTTTGATTCTAAATGTGAAATTAATTTATATGGATGGGCCCATGTCGAGTTATAGTTTTACCAGCTCAGAAGTAGATTATTCAAAGAAATATTCAAGCTATTCTGAAGCTCATATTAAAATACGTGAAAGCACCAAACAATTTGGATATAAACAGGAGAACCAGTAGAATGAATGAGTGAGCGAAAGAAAAGCTAAACAAAAAGATATAGATTCCAAAGGAATAAAATTTCGAAATTGAAATATCAAGATTAATTTTAATGTCTTTTTTATGCGACTCAGGGTATTAGGGATGTTAAATCAGTTGCTGAGGTTGTGATTCTTCATCGACTGAGATGGTTGGGCCACCTGATAAGTATGCCTGAACACTGATCACCACGACGTGCAATGCTAACCGGTGTTGGGGATGGTTGGAAGAAAGTTAGGGACGGCCAAACCAAAACATCGCATCAGTGCTTGAAGTCACTAACGTCTAGTCTCAGCCATGTTGGCAAATGCAGACTATCGTAACCAATGGTTGGAGACTCTGGGTGACATGGCTCAGAATCGAACACAATTGAGTAGGTGTATGCACTCTCTGTCATCCCTTAAACTAAGAGAATAAAATCGCTTCATATCTTTCTTTCTATAGACTAATTCTTTCTTCCTGTACTATGTCCTTATATGCAATCTTTCTTTTATATATTACCACCATTGACTTAACTACTTTGATGAATCCGGTGTTCATCTTGTTGTGTTAATGAGGTATGGTAACTTTGATGCATATATGTGCCTGGTGATACGTTGTAGCCGACTGATACGAAGCATCAATAAACGCATAGTGTTTAGAAAAAATAGACTACCAAACACAAGAATGCGTAGATTTTAGGAATATAAATGACTTAGAACATTATAGTAACGGCGAATTTGCTTATCGTATAAAATTACCTTTAATAAGTTACTGTAATAGAAAAATAGAACTCACTTTATCACTACTGATAGCAGCCTTGCAAACAGGGCATACCGTGCGGGTTTCAGAAGTTTCAAGCCAACGATGGAGACATGGCCAACAAAATAAATGGCCGCACATGCTAACTACCGCATCTCGAGCTGAATCAAGACATATATTACACTCAAAAGATCCCGTTGTCCCATTACTATCAGTGGTCTCGGATGTGTTGGCTTGATTTGACTTATCAGGGTTGCTTTTAGGTATATTTGACTTCGAGGTAGAGGCGGCTGTCGATGTTTCCATTTATCCTTGTTCGTCAGTTGTGTAATAATTTACCTAAAAGAACACCCTGAACATCAAAAGAAAATAGGAAAACCACCATAGAAATTATAACAATCTCAGTGCCAGTTACAGAAAATTAAAATGATTTACTACACATATAACAAAACCATATATATTAAGGATGTGACAAAAGGTGTTCTCTGGAACTTAGGGGAACTGTCATGATGAGATTTATTTGACGCATTATGATAACAGCTAGAACAGAAAAGATAATCCTGCTAACTTTGGTTATACACAGCATCACGACACGTCATGAGATAATAAATTTAAGTAGAATTAAGATGAAACCCTTGTCCATTAATTTACTCACAGAGCTACACAACTTGAAATAAAACATCAAAAGAATCTCAATGAGTGGCTGATTAGTTTAAAATATTGTTTCTTTAGATTTATTAATTAGTACAAATTAACGGAACATCGTATTGTTGATGAACTGTGAATATAAGGTCAATATAAACAAACAAATGATAGCTAGTAATCGGATTTGAAACCATCGGAACTGAAGTATTCACAAGGAATTGATATGTGCAATTAATTCTCGAAGTTTATAAGCTATGTAATTGAATTTAAACTATAAAATACACCAGTACGGAAAAACTGAATGCTATGAAATCTTGGAGACATGCTACTTTTTATTATTACAATTATGAGAATGGACTCTATGATGCTCATGTACTTCTTTAACTAGCTAGCACAACTGAACACAAAAAGGTTGCACACGACTCACTACACATAGATCAAGATCAGTTACAAAAAAACAATTTAAAGTAAAATATTTGACCTTAAAACGAATAACCTGTTTACTATTTTATAATGAAGGGAAAAAATCTGGATCTTGATATTTCTTGTAATTCAATGAGCATGGCTATATTCAAAAATACATTAAATTATTTTGGCAGATGATATGAAATATAGTGGATAACTAGTCAATTATATGATTATTATTATTTTTCCCACTGAAACAATGGCTTAGTGGTTATATAACACTCCATTTTTATATTTACTACGTTATTGGCTAGAGCTAAGTTTCACCTATGTAGACAACATCGTCATTTCACATAGAAATTTTCGTTTAAAATCAAATATACGAATAAATATTCGCAAACCGATTTACATTACTATTTCTGATTTTTGTGACATAGGAATTAATACTTATAAAAGCATTTATAAGCTTTTTATAGTATGAGTTAACACTTTCCCAAACCGTTATTGTCAAGCAATTTTCACAATCTATTCTGGTCATTGACCTAAAAGTTTTGCATCTTAATCAAGTAATCAAATCACATCAATGGCAAAAATGATGAAACATTATAGACTTCTTATAGAATTTGTTGTGCAGTTTAGGAAGATAATGATTTGTACAGATAATATTTCAAGACTAGGTATTATACACATAACAGAATACTGGTTTGTAGAAAAATATAGTTAAAAAATGCAAATTAAATTTGACAAGCCTCAGTAAAAAATCAAACAATATTACGTTCGGAAAAATGAGTGACAAAAAAGACAAAGAATAGTAACCTAAAAATATGTATATTTTTATTTTTTTTTTCCCCAGCATACTACTATTGAAATTAATACAACTGTTAGAGAAATTACAAGTCACAGATTACAAATGCACAGTTTCAGCAACAAGACACATCTCAGATACAAAACTTTTGCTAAAAATAAAGGATATTGACCAGATTGAAATATTAATTCATTAAGATGAAGAATTTGAATTCTGAACAGACACTATTTCATGAGTTCTAGACTGATACACGGCTAATTCAGTTGTTATATTTTGAAGACAAGACGATTTTACACGAAGACCAGCTGCGATTCGATTGAAACTTTTCTCGTAGACGTTACTGAGCTCTTCAAAAGCACAATTAGGTGGTTTTAGTACAGGATACTAAAAAACAGGCACAATAACAAACAACATAATTAATATGATACTTAGTTATTCACATATATTTCTGTAGATATCAGACGTAAGGTATGAAATGTCATAAAAATTATTCACGATTAAATCTAAAAAATTGCATTTCGACACAAAACAAAAGCAAAATGTGAAAATCGACTTCCTCTTTTTTTATTATTAATTATTGATAAAAGTGAATTAGACTAATGATTTATCTACCATTTTATTAAATTACGATCATATGTTTAAGCAAATTGAAATCGGATGCTTGATCAATATTAATTCTTAGCTTCTGTGTAAATCGACAAACATCATCGCCTGATAAAATAAATATTGAACTAAACACTATAATCAGAGTACATATTTACTGGAGAACGGAGAAACGGCAATAAAATTTATGGTTTTCAGGGAAGTATTATCTTTATCGTTCGGTATCATAAATATAAACTGATATTTGAAATAGCAGTCAACTGTGAATAAGTCTCTACATACAGGAACCAACCAAGATTTGTCCCCAATAATCTATGATTATTTGTGCTATTGCTCAATTCGAAAACATATAATTTAATTAGAATTTAATGATTACTAAACAACTAACACTATGATATACTGTAAATAATATTTAAAAAAAAAACAATTTCACAACCTGTACTAAGAAATCTTCAGACAGCACATGTGTACAAGCATTTGAAGCAATCAATTGAAATTCTTTACATGAAACATCATGACACCAAGTAGACCAACAATCGGTAACCTCTACCAGTTGATCAGCAATAGTTACTAATTTCGTTGTAGTATAGTATAAACCAACAGCGAAATTGTCTAACAAACTGAGAATTGGAGAATGATTTGAATTAGTGTTCATTACTTTATCTTTTTTATTCTTTCTCTTTTGATATTTATTTATTTCATGATGATAATGGCTGAAATAGAATGAAAAACAGAGTATAACGCACCGTTGAAAATTACAATTATTCATAAAAGCATATTTCAGGAGCATTTATTAAGATTTAGGCTAACATAATTCATATTACTTGATATAAACGCAGTTCAGATATGATAAATATTTATAGCTTCACAAACTACATTTAAGTAATCATTACCATTAAAAAATACACTGATAATAGTAAATTGTAAAAATGTAAGAGCTTAACAAATGAAATTATAGGTGGATATGAGGAATAATTTATTTGACTTTGGTTATATGAAACTGAATTAACCAGTAGTGCAAAGTAAGGTGGAAAATTTGTATACTTTGCTACATGAAGTAAAATTGTGAAATAAAATTGTGAAACGAAGATGAATGAGATTTCACAATATTTTCGAAACAAGACCAATAATAAATTATGTAAAAAACTTAGAAAATGTTCCATCACATCAACGAAATAAGGCATTAACAAGATAAAAAAAAAGGGAATGCAAATGACATGACATACGAAAGTAGACAAACAAACGTATAAAGTGTACTTTAGAAGGATGAAATCAAATTGAGAATTTAAAATATCAACGATAATATAGGGTTCAAGGTTTATGGAAAGAGAAAGGAGGAATGCATTGTATCAATGCTACTGATTTTAAGTCATACCACTAAAGGTCATCAAAAAGATTACCTTAGGAAATGAACAGTCTTCAAACTGCTGTCGCGCCAGACTATTACTTTTATTCGCTTGCTTGACCAAAATGTTGAAAGCTTTACATAACTGTATATCTGATTCGCTAAGTCTACGATCACCAGTTACTTTTATTATTAGATTAGAAACTATGGAAGAAAGCCAGAAAGCTTATGCTCGAACATTCATTTGTTGAGACCGTAATCAGTGAGAGCTTAGATAAAGACTATGAATACAGGACAGGGTTGTTGCAACTGACGTAGATTATATGATTATAATTAACACTAAATTATGTAATGAAGAATTTATTTTTAAGAAATTCAAACAAGAAACTAAGCTAATAATCACGATACTTTTTACTTGAGTGAGTGACAACTGAAGATACAATTTGTTGACTTCGCTCATATTAAACCATAATTTCAGTAGCGAAAATCGATTTGGAAAATGATCTTCTATAATCCATTACTCCATTGTAAGAAATGTTGATCACTCGTTGGAAGAAATTTGATGTAATCTCGTTTAGAAAATTACTCGTAGTCTAACTACTCTTTACTTGACCTACTTACCATTGGTGAAGTCATCAGATAAAATGTTCGGTTGAACCGCCAGGATAACTAAGATGATAACTGTGATAATATGTTATCTACACTCGGGGTTGATGCATATTGCAGATTTAAAACCAGTAAAATTATGTGACATATAAGTATAATTCGTGTATTAAAGAATGATTTGTTTCATGTAAGGATAAATAATATGTGTTTAAATTTACCTCCTAGGACGTAAGGCACTTTGAATCATTGATACTAGCAAAGTTGCCAAAGAAATACTTTCATAAAACATTGTCAGGATTAATAAAACACCACCAGGATGAACAAAATCGTTATCACTAGAAATCCCGTTAGGCAAATGATCATCTTTTGGTGAAGACAGTAAAGAAGTATTTATAGCTGGATAAACCTTTGGTATGTCTGTATCTTCAGAAGTAAGCTGTCCAGACAAAAAGGATTCATACAAGGACTGAAGAAGATAGTCCATAGATTTCTTAGTAAAAGCAGCTAAATGTAACAAACATGAAGAACAGTTTTAATAAAGTTTATTTATTGGTAACAAATTAACGGAACTGTTCTCAATTTTGCACTGAAACTATTGTGACTTACAAGAGTTTTCGGAAACCAGGCCATGAAGTCCTAATATAAGTTCAATACCGATAGATAAAACCCTTCGGTATGGTCCGTAACAATATAATGAAGCGCATGATACATCTGGCAAATCAGGGAATGTTTTGAGTATTTGATCACGTTTTACCATAACACTCCATGACTAATAGAGGAAAGAAATAGGGACAACATAAAGTGACTCTTGTAAAGGGACAACAATGGGAGGAATAATATATGAAACTAATAAATTTTTATTTCAGTATTACCTTTGAATTACATCTTTGTTTTAGGCCAATAGACATAAACGTATGACCCAGCTCAGAGTACGTCATAGTGGCTTAAATGCATTTACTGTTAATCTTCCTCTAAATTTTGACCAGTAAATCATCTCAAACGTTTCATCTTCTAATCCCATTTCTGAATACTATGCTGCTTTTCATCTAGTTAATTTCTTCTTGATTATTCTGATCTAAGAAGCAACTAAGGTCGATTCATACTTGTGCCACGTGCTTTGTTGTTTATAATTAACTATTAGTGTAAATATGAACCTCTCCAATTAGTCACATATCATACCAGTACATCAAGACAAAATCAGGAGAGAAACCAAAAGAGTGTATGTAAAAATACCAACAGCATAAAACAGGTAACAACTTTTGAATATGTTCAAAACTTTCAGGAAGTTGATTGATGAATGTTTGTGAACTAATACGACTGATTTACTCAAAGCACTTAACAGTAGTTTAGTTATCTGGAGAATGCTGACTAAAGTGTCTACCTGCCGACATGGCTCGGACCAATCATTAATGGTAGAACGTCTTGGTTTAACCAACATTAGTACTTTAAACTAATCCGGGAAAAATTATTCCAACACTGTGAGATTATCTATGACAAATTAAATAAAAATAGGGAAGCACACAGACTGATGAACACCACTCAACATAACCAGTTCAGATGAGAGTCGGTCACGGGGTCGGATTCGACTGTGTTAGAGTGAAAAGCATTCAGTACGTTTATCCAAGCCCTCAATACAACTTTATATCGTCAGGCATATTCGACTGGATTAGAACGTGATCTTCAGATTAAAGAACACGTTCACGGATAGTGAATATTTTTACAGCACAGTAAAGATTCAGTCGATAAATTGATATTTTAAACTTAGGTTTTTTGGTTTAGTGATCCTGAGTTTCAGTTATAGGGGATTGGGTCGATATTTTAGGAAACGTGATCATATTCATTTCTTTGGGGATTACACAATACGATATCTACCCTAAAACAATCAAAGACCAGTGGACAGACGTACAGTCGTTGTACTGTTAGGGATGCTAGACTTTCATTCCCTTTGCCGGTTTTGGTTGATATCTTAGGGGCGGCCAAACCAAAACATGGCATCAGTGCTTGAAGTCACTAACGTCTAGTCTCAGCCATGTTGGCAAATGCAGACTACTTGGTTGTGGTCTGCGTAACTATCGTAACCAATGGTTGGAGACTCTGGGTGACATGGCTCAGAATCGAACACAATTGAGTAGGTGTATGCACTCTCTGTCATCCCTTAAACTAAGAGAATAAAATCGCTTCATATCTTTCGTTCTACGAACTAATTCTTTCTTCCTGTACTATGTCCTTATATCCAATCTTTCTTTTAGATGTTACCACCTCTGAATTAACTACTTTTATGAATTCGTTGTTCATCTTGTTGTGTTAATGAGGTATGGCGATTTGGACCGATGCAAATATGTGCCTGGTCCTACGTTGTAGCTGACTGACTGACATTAGTTGATATCGTAATCTTTTCAAACGTAGCATGTACAAAGACTATCTTTAAACTCTAACACAATATCCGTAAACTGAAAGGTTGGTAAGGAAAAATGAGAATAGCATGATGAAATGTACGATTTTTTGTACTGTGTAATATGTTAGTAATGCTGAATTTCTATCCAACATAGATATTTACTAAACAGTTCACATACACTACAAATTGTGTTTACAGGAGCTAGTATGTACCGTGATAAAATTGTCATTTAGCTGAACTAACCAAAATTAAACATAGCAACAAAAAAGTCTAACGATATGACATTCACGAAACAAAACGAACTAGTAATTTAAAATTGCTTAATTCTCTTGTAGATGGTTCTTTGATATGTGAATCGAGATCATTCATTGTCGATAACAGACTGTTTAAACTTTTGACAGATTCTGGTGGTACGTTCTCTGCAATTTCATGCTGACTTTCGGAAATCATATAATGTTCAACTTTTACAATTGACATTACAAGCGAAGTTGCATAGACAATAGCATTTAGAGTTAAACAACGGAGATTTAACCATGATTTCTGAAAAAAAATACAGAAATAAGAGATACGTTGAAACAGCGAAATAGCATGATATAAAGTAAGGCAAAGGGATAAGAACAAGTTTGCACGTTTTATAATGCTAAATATAAGTGATAATTATTGGTTAAATGATAAGCATGAAATTTCACCAGACTATTAATTCAAAAAATATAGAAACTAAACGATGATTACCAACATCATATAGTGAAGTAAGTAAAAGAATTTTCGGAATCGTTCAAAATTTAAACATTTATGTTCTGACGATGATACGCAAGGAGCCACAAAGTGAGGTGTGATTAAAGCGAGAAATGAACGCCAAATGAATAATTAAAACAACACAGTCCTGCTGTAGGGAGTCCCTTGAAGGAAGATTTGATTCTGTCTTAAAGAAGAAATAAGTATGGCCACAGAAAAACTATAATCACAAGTCAATGGACTTGGAAGAGAAAAGGAACTATGCAATGGTCAAGGTGTGAACTAGCGCAACTGAGCCGAGTGAAGAAGATCAAAAAGAGTTAATCTTAACATATCACAAAATGGATATTCAAAACCCATTAAAAATTGTCAATTATTATAGTAAGCCAGAAAATTAGATATTTTCGACAACAGTGAACAGATGTGTACATTAGTGAAATTAATTGATTAAAAGATTGATAACTACTGATTCTTGACATTATATACTAGATGGAATGTTAATGAAGGGATCTAACTGGCATTAATAAGAAATAAATGCTGGAAAGTAGTTATTTGAAAATGGCTCGAAAAGACGAACAGTCAGGAAAACAAAGGTTTATGAATAAATAGGAAGAATAGTTAGCTTACCAAATGGTCAAATGACAATCGAACGTTTTCAACTCGTTCATATCTAATAAAAAGTGAGTTAGAAATCCCGTAAAATACTTCACTTACTGATCAAAGTTCGGTGTGACTGAAAAGTCCCGGCAATCAACAATCATCGGAAGTTGTTTTGTAACTAAGAGGTTATGGAAAAACAGTATAAACAATTAGACTCATACAAATAGATACTTGAAAAGTGTTCATAAGAAAATCAATTGGCATGTCTAATAAGCAAGTTTTATCTACTTACCATTATCAATACTAATTTGAGCCTGACCAAGTTGCTCAAGAAGTGTATCAAAGCTGAAAGTAAAAGACGAAATTTAAGCCAACACTGTGTAAAAATCTATATAAAAAACAGATGATTTATCTATTTAAAACAGATTTTGGTACAATAGGACACGAAAAAAATCCGCCACACAAATGAATTAATAATATTGTGACGAAATAAGGGAAGGGTAGTACACTCAATAAATGAGCAAGAATAGTGTCCAAAAACGATCACGAAAGTTTTCTTTGGGTTAAGCAAGTTTACCTTATTTTTATGAATGTAAAATAAAACTACAGCGGAATAATAGTCGGATTCTATTCTGAGTCATATCTAATAATGCACTTAGCCCAATAATTCGGACGATTCTAAAGGACTCACACAGAGGGTCGTGGTGAACTAGCAGGTTCCAGTTCCATATTTATTTCCTATATCATGATGACATATCATCAACTGACCATCTTCTCGTCTCTTCACCTAGTTCGAGCGTCGGTAAATAATTCATTAAGCAGAAGTTAATCGGATGATACTCGTAAATCATATCCAAGCTATGGAATCTAGTGTTTCAAACTATCACATTAACTGAGTTATCGTCATTGAGTGAAGCATATTACCGAAACTCAGCACCACTAAAATGGTGTTACCACCAGGTCTCAGGAATCCTTTGGAGAAAAAGACCACTGAACATGGTGAGACATCGAACATTCTCAACCTGAAAAAGCCAGGTTTTACGAGTGTACCATAGATCTGTTCTGACCAAACCTTTTATAGTCAGATTAACATCACGATGGCGCCAAAAGTGGCCTACATTGACATACGCCGCTTTGGCTTTCAGTATATGTGCACTGACATCGTCAGTTACGACACTACTAGCTATCGTACAACTATCCAGATGCACGAACTATTGAACACAAAGACTCCTGCTGGTTTTGTACAAGTACTTAATGTTTTAAAGGTGAAAACTATATGCTGCACTTACGAACATTGATTGAGAGCTGATTAAATGAGGTTTGGACAGCTTATGCACTATCGCGCAGTCAGACAATGTTTTTCTCCAGATGACAAATCCACACTTACCACATACTTCCTTCATATCTGTTTCTAATACACCCTCGATGGAAAAGTTGAAGAGGAATAGTAAGAGATGACAACACCATCTAACTCCACTATTCAGATGGGACAATGTAGGGAGATGATTGTATGCCCTTAGTATGTCTGAGGCATTTGTATACAGATTTATCATAAGCTCCTCAACCACTCCTTGAACAGACAATCCCAGAAAAGCCATATCTAACGAACTGAAGGCACCCTTGGTATCAAGAAACGATTATTGTTCTGTAATAAATGTGGTGTCCGAACGTATGCCAGAGAGTCGAGGTGATAAAAGCATTCACAATCGGAAAGAAAGGCATTCAACTTGTCGCGAGTAAGCTCTTCACGAGTTTCGCACATATTTTGTGGAATATGACGGATGATAATAGTTTAAGTAACGGAAATTGTATTTATAATCTTATACCTGGTACCAACGTAACATGGTTTTGATATTAAGTCTACCCTACCATGGATTAAAATATATCACAATAAATTACAATTCCTCCTACTTCCTGAAGAGAAAAGAAGTGCAAAAGAGGACTTCTTGCGTTTGAAATTTGGGTAAATCTTACGGATATTAATGAACTATCACAAGAAATAGAAATCATTTAACCTGTTCAGTGACACCAAGATTATGAAGCTACATGTTTAATGTAACGTAATGGTCTAAAAATACACAAAACGTAACTATTCACAATAACTTTTTGATGCAGTTTAGTATGCAAGTACGATCTCATGTATTCCGCTTCAAGTCACGTAGTGTGAAGACTAATGACAGTACCCAGTTATCCAAACTGAAATAGGTGGGACGAGGTTTGAAAGTGATTGTTTCAAAAACTGCTTTGCTCCTTTGTCATTCATATACAATAAAGAAGTGTTGAAAAATTGAGAATATAACTACAAATGATAGAATCACATAATCTTGTCCTCACTTTCTGTTCTGTAACTAAAAAGAACGGATGTTTGAGAACGCTATCTTCATTAGCATTTGATAGACTATTTCACTAATTAGGGTTATATTCAGATTAGAAACTTTTATCAGAGGTAGTAATCCATACTATAATTCTCAACCAATACTCTCAAGTATGACCACGTTTTATTACTGTTGTACGTAACAAATCAGTATGCATCACGTTGTCGTCTAAAGGTCACATTTTCAAAGCAAATAAACGAGAGTGAATTATGGTTATATAAGGTGAATACTTTATTAACCCGGAAAAATTTATAATCCAAATTCAAACTTTGATTTTACGGTATGGGTAATAAAAAAGATATCATCAATAATACTTACTCATGTTGTGAAACAATCAACTGCCAATGAAGCATTTCAACACGGACAGTTAGAAATACGTCAGCATTATGAAGTTGGCTGATAAATTGTGTGAATTCACGAACTTTTGTATAGGCATGTTTTCGATATGCAGCAACTAAAAACTCTTCCGCTTCCGTGACCATACTGTTGGAAAGTGTTATAATCTTCTGATAAAGACTATGTATAGAATTACTATCGTCAACTTGTGACTGTATAGCCACTATACTTGTACACATGGCCAATGATGGAGAGGGTTTTACAATTAAATGCCTACAATAATAATGACGGTATTAAAAGTAGTTTTACACTTCAAGTCAAAAAATAATAAAGGAGGAGGGTTGGGCATGGGGTTAGCATCCCCATCCCGTAGAAAACTAACTCGCTAAAAGACGCTAACCAGAAAAAATAATTCAAACCATTAAAACTCTGCCCTGGCAGTTAGGTCTTCATTTAGAACTATAACGTCTCATGGTGAAAGCCAAACTCCTTCGGAAGCCACGAGGCCGATGCCCCTTCTAACAACCAGAGCAACAATTTTTATAGGTACATGGAACGTCTAGACAATGTGGGAGACAAGGAAGACCAGTCAAATAGCAAGGGAAATGAGGAGATGCAACTTGGCAGTACTGATAATCAGCGAAACTCATTGGACCCAAGCTGGAAAACAAAGGCTAAATACGGGAGAGATGCTGCTATACTCTGGTCACGAAGAGGAAAATGCTCCACACACTCAGGGAGTTGCTTTAATGCTGTCCAAAGAAACACGAAATGCACTTGTAGGATGGAAATCTCACCGTTTCAGAATCCTCAAAGCATCATTCAAAACAAAGAAGGAGGGGATCACAATCAATATTATCCAATTTTATGCACCCACCAATGATAGCAACGACGACATTAAAGATCAATTCTATGAGCGGCTGCAGTCAATCATTGAGAAATGCGCAAGAAAGGACCTAACTATTCTGATGGTAGATCTAAATGCCAAAGTCGGAATAGACAACATCGGATACGAAGATATCATGGGACGACATGGACTGGGAGAGAGAAACGGGAATGGAGAAAGATTTGCAAATCTATATGCATTCAACAAATCGGTCATAGGCGGCAAAATATTTCCACACAAAAGTATACACAAAGATACATGGATCTCAACGGACCACACCACAGAGAACCAGATAGATTACATTTGCATCAATAAAAAATTCCGAAGGACAATGGAAGATGTGAGAACCAGGAAAGGAGCTGCCATAGCTTCAAATCACCACCTAGATGTGGCCAATTTAAAACTGAAGCTAAAGAAGAACTGGACAAACAGTACTACAAAGGTTCAATACAGCCTTCCTTCGAGATACTAACAAACTCAAAGAATTCAAGATAGCTTTCAACAACAGGTTCCAAGCCCTACAAGATCTACTGAAGGAAGAAGAAACTACTATGGAGGACAACTGGAAAGACATCAAAGAAGCATTGACTTCAACGTGTCAAGAGGTTCTGGGCCTAAAGAAACACCATCATAAGGAGTGGATCTCTATAGAAACTCTGGACAAGATCAAAGAAGAGAAGAACGAGAAAACAGCAATTAATAACAGCCGAACACGAGCAGAGAAAGTCCAAGCACAAGCTGAATACACAGAAGCAAACAAGCAAATGAAAAGGAACATTAGAGCCGACGGAAGAAATACGTGGAAGAACTAGCAACGGCGGCGGAAAAAGCTGCAAGAGAAGGAAATATGAAACAACTTTACGATACAAAGAAGAAACTATCAGGGAAATACAGTAAACCAGAGAGACCGATCAAAGACAAAGAAGGCAAGGCAATCACTGAAATTCAACAACAGCGGAACAGATGGGTAGAATACTTCGAGGAACTCCTGAATAGGCCGGCTCCAATGAATCCACCGGACATCGAAGCAGCACACACAGATCTTCCCATAGACGTCAACCCACCAACGAAGGAAGAAATCAGAATGGCCATCAGACAAATCAAGAACGGGAAAACAGCAGGACCCGACAACATGCCAGCTGAAGCACTGAAGTCAGACATCGAAGCAACCACAATCATGCTTTACCCTCTATTCAAAAAGATTTGGGAGGAGGAACAAGTGCCGATGGACTGTAATGAAGGATACCTCGTCAACATATCAAAGTAAGAAGATCCCAGCGAGTGTGAGGACTACAGAGGTATCAAACTACTGTCAGTATCGAGAAACGTTTTCAACAGTGTTGCTGAACAGAATGAAAGACGCAGTAGACACCCAGCTTTAAGATCAACAGGGCGAATTCCGTAAGTATCAGTCGTGTACAGACCGAATCGCGACACTATGGATCATTTCTGAGCAATCAATTGAATGGGATTCGTCACCATACATCAACTTTCTTCGACTATGAGAAAGTGTTTGACAGTGTGGATAGAAGGACCTTATGGAACCTTCTTATATACTATAGTGTGCCTGAGAAGATTGTCAGCATCATACGGAATTCATGAGACGGACTACACCGTAAAGTCGTGAATGGGGGTCAGCTGACAGACGTATTCCGAGTGAAGACTAGTGTCAGGCAAGCCTGCTTACTCTATATCTCTCTTTCTTCCGGTGGTTGACTGGATTTTCAAGACTTCGACATCTCAGGGAAAGCACAGAATACAATGGACAGCTTGGATACAAACAGACGATTTGGACTTCGCAGATGACCTAGCCCTTCTATCCCATACACCTGAGCAAATGCAGGTCATGATAACCAGTGTAGCAAAAGCCTCTGCATCAGTAAGCCTCAACATACACAAGGGAAAAAGTAGGATCCTCAAATACAACATGGAGAATACCAGCACAATCACACTTGATGGAAGACCTCTAGAAGAGATGGAGAGTTTTACGTACCCGGACCGCATCATTGATCAACAAGTTGGGTCTAATGCACATGTAAAGGCACGAACTAGCAAAGTAAGGGCCACATTTCTACAAATGAAGGACATGTGGAGCTCGAAACAACTGTCAGACAACAAAGTCACAATCTTCAATACGAATATCAAGACAGTTCTACTGTACAGGGCTGAGACTTAAAGAACTACTACAACTATCATCAAGAAAGTACAAGTATTTATAAACAGCTGTCTACGCAAGATACTGAATGTCCGTTGGCCGGATACCATAAGCAACAGTCTACTGTGGGAGAGAACAGACCAGTTTCCAGCTGAAGAGAAAATTAGCAAAAGACGCTGGAAGTGGATAGGACATAAATTACGGAAATCATCAAACTGGATCACAAAGCAAGCGCTAACTTCAAATCCTAAAGGGGAAGGGAAAATGGGAAGGCCAAAGAACACACTGCGACGGGAATTGGAAGGAGACATCAAAAAGATAAATAGCAACTGGAAAGAATTTCCTAGGACAGATTTCGATGCTCCTCCACGAGGGGTAACAGGTGTAAGTAAGTAGGTTTCCTAGAACAGATATTCAGAGTCATTCGACGTCTCCATTTTAAAAAAACGATTATATTCACCAGCAGTTTCATAACTAATATGCTGTCGTTGAAAGAAAGCTATGTTTAAAACCATGAATTCAAATCTACTTAGCATAGACAATATTTAAATTATAGAAGACTTGCTTACCCTAGTGAAAGAAACAGCAACTGCTTGATTTCAAGTTTGTCTAACTGGGGCAATATAAGTTCAGGACAATTAAGAAAATCTGAAGAGTATAAATTACACAATTTTATGCGCAAATGGTGATTAAGATTTGTATGTTCTAATCCGATTATATAAATCCAGTAAAGAGAAAGAAGTCCAGTTCCGAGAGAGAAGGAACACTCATAAGCCGGAGAGGATGTTTCCAAAAGCGAGGATAAAGATAATAGCAAAAATCCATCAACTGGATAAAGGTCAATAGGAGTTGTTTCATTATTAACAGCAACATCTTTTAACTTCTTTAGTAAAACTTCACTACGATCTGGGGCATATCCGAAGTAGTAACGAAGTAATGACTGTAAAGAAGCTCCTTGATTATTAGCACGTGCTATCTGGTGAGCGCACAGATGACGATAAATAGTCTTATCTTCTTTGTTTGTCTGTAAAAAGTGATAAATATTGACAATTATAAGTGGTGACTCAGAAATCTCAATGGCGCAAATGCGATCATTCTTTGTCTTTCGTTACTTCTTGAACACCAAAATCTTACACTTTTTCTACACCTACTATTGTATACTACTACCAATACTGTTACCAATTCCACTACTCTGGGATGCATCTTAATGCTTTCATCTCGCTGTGTTTATGTTGGATATGACTAACTGATTGTTATATGTGGTCAGACTCAAGTAGATATAATGGATGACAAAAGAACTTCAATCAAGTAGCAAAATTCTGGCATAAAACAATTATGACTACAAAACGAATAAAAACATACGAAAGAATCTAATCTACTTTTCGTACAACTCGTGTCATAGTAAATATACTGTGATACGTTTGTCACGAAATAATATTAGTTTAATGCATTTAATGTGTTGTGATTAGGGTCTACGATACATTACTGTGAAGTAAAACATAAAACCCTGGTACAAATAAGAGGTATTTGATGTACGACATTAAAAAGAACCTCCAGAATGCTACAGACATTCAATAGTAACGAAAAGAATAAGAAACATCTAAAATCTTGTGTAGGCCATGAGGATGAACTAATCCACGAAAATTCAAGTTGCTTTATTAAATGGGATGTGGATATTTGGGAAAGAAGTAGTATAATATTAGTATGCAATGATATACATGTACAATAATGATGTTAGACTAAAATGACTTACGAAGTTCAGATTTGTCTCAGCAACCTCCATAACAAAATTAATATACTGTTGAAAGCAAAAAAAAAATCAATGTGACAATATTAAGTCATTAATGCCTTAAAATTCAAAGATCGAAATGACAAACATATAAATTAGAATTTTTCGTATAAAACATAACAAAAACCGCAATACAGAACATGACATTTAGAAGTAGCAGTAATAGAAATACATACTCACTACCATTGATTTAACCAAATTCTCACGAGCATTCTTTGAGGGTAGTTTATAATAAAATACTTTTGTCGTGACAACAGTGACAGATAAGTATGTCTAAGAATATGCACTTGACTTGACTGTTAATTCTGGTTTACAAATGGACAGACCAGAACTAACACCCATTGAGGCATCCACTGTGTGCAATCACTGCTGATAAACCATCTGATTCAGGAAAATATAAGTTTTATCCTTCTGTGATGTCTTCGGTTGTTGTCTTCAATTGTACAGTACTGATACATCTATCGGATCCATGATTCATTTGTTTAATTATAGCATTTGGTCATTGACTACATGAACCGATGTTGTTAACGTAGACTTAGTTACTTGGTCATAAATTCCTCTGTATACTTGACCATTCAAAATTTTCCTCGATAGTAAATAAATATTCTCACAGTCACTTCTTACAGAATGTCGCAGTTGTAATGCTTCTCTGTACCTCCTACTATGTTAACGAGGATTTAGTTCAAGTTGTAACCACTTACTAACTCCAGTAATTTGGTACAGATCCCTTTTTACATTTTGCGGTTTACAGTTGCTTCTTATTTTCTTAATGAGTTAAAATCTCTTAAAGCACATAGTTTAATGTCAGATTGGAGAATGCTGCTCTTGACTTACAACAAACAACGAGAAATTCAATTTCCTAAATTCCAACAGCAAGTATTCGACTAGAGAAACAAATTTTTAAACCGCTCCTAACTGACTGCAATCACGAATGAGTGTAAGTAAACGGATTCAGTAAATCAGAAAACCTGTTTTTGACTGCAGTTTTACTAAAAACCACTGAATGTTTTTCTTTCAATTTTAGCACTGTAAACAAAATAAAGACCAGGAACAAGTAAAATATAAAAGACTTAGGACAACGATGAACAAGTCAGTAAGAAATCTTATAATGTACTGGTTGCATCATGCACACAAAAATAAATCTGTTTGAGTGCTTGACTAACTGGGCTGCTTGGAAAAAAAACAATACAATGATACTACAAGAGCAAAAAATATAACGAAAGAAAATCAGAGGATTTACCTTGATTTGATCATCCACATTTGGTAAAACCATACGTAAAAGGTAAGCCAAATCCATAGAACATATGGGCTTATGAGAGAATGTATTAAAGTACTCCTCCAAGAATGTCAATGGATTATGATTATAAACAAGATGCATTCCCAACTGTAACAGGTTCGCATACATATCCAAACGCGCCAATTGCGGACCACGATTATAAGGATGATTCGTTATGGCGATGTCGATTAACGACATAACTTTTTCTACACTATTTTATGAAAAAAAATTGGCTGCTCATTTATCTTTTATTAAAGTAATAGTAAATGAGTACCAAACAATGTTTAAAACAAATCGAAGTAAAAAAAACGATTGCAAGCTTACTCAACGTCTAATGTGACAGAAACGGCAAATACAGAGACGTGTTGAGCATTGATTAGCACCAATTAACAGAATCCATCCACAAACAGTAGCTAGAATAAAGGTTACTACACAAATGGTCTTAAACACTATTGGTGCATATAACTAAATACCCCGGGGCAATTCCCTGTTTTTCGAACATATAAAAGATATCTGATAAATTTGTTTCTAAGCTGTCAGATGCAAATAACCCATGACCACATATCATATGCTAAGCTAATAGGGGGAAGAATAATGAAGAGATTACAATGTGTTAAACACATTTTTAAAAAATAAAATGGAAACCGAATTATGTATTGTAACTCGGATTTACTTAAAATGCACAAAACCTAATATAAATTACTGCTATAGATTATGCTATTTATTTATTTTATTTAAAATACAAGGAATAACGAAAAGATAGAACTTTAAGCACATATTCTTTGCACATCGAGATCAGTCGTCACTAGAGTACAACTTCGCGCAAATATGTATTACATGTTTATATACTTTTAGTGAACTGACAGATCCATCACTGTATGAGTTAAAACACTGGTTTGAACCTACACACTTCTGAATAGTAAACTGAGTAAACAAAGCGGAACCGGAGTGCGACTGGCTTCAAATTACATTCCGATGTCTGATCACTGGCCCCAAAAAGAACAACTTTCTTCAGTGTACAAAATATAGTCCTAATTTTGGTTGCTCACTAACATTGAGGTTCTTTTCACAATTTATTTCCCTTACTACTTTCTTTTCTCTAAAGTGTTGCTACATGAACAGATATTTGTCAGTACCAAGTTCTAGGTCGTTCATTAAAGACCGTATACATACCCAGAAAGATATTGAAAGGACGTTTACAAAGTGTGATTTATGAACAATTACAACTTAATCGTATTCTAAAGAATTTACTGCATACATTCACGGTTGATCCACGAGACAATCTTGATAAGAAAAGGACGTAAGCATATGCATCATCTCTTTAAGCTAACTCTAATCCATCACATTGTGATTAATGTAGGTTTTATGGAATGCTTTTAGTGGGGAATATACTATGTACTTGACTGAAGCAAGTGGGGACACATGGAATTTGGTGGCAGAATAATTCTTGTTGTGCTACGGTAAGACGTACAAAAAGAAAGTATGTTAGTGAAATTTAGGGTAGGACTCTAATTTATGGACGAGCCAATCAGAAGCGTTTAAGGAATTTCAAGGTCACGGCGGTAAGTTCAGTGCAAGATGCTCACATTCGATCGTTTTACGGCAGATTTTAGAGAATAGGTGATCGTTGAGAGACTACAGCAGATGGCACTGTTAAGAAGTTCCTGTGTCTGTGACTGCGGCAATTAAATGACCGCAGCACGATGTGCAGACTGCCACGATGACATTGTATGTCGTTGTACTATATGTTGGAGAAAAAAATCAGCTTGAACTGGCACTTTTTTAACCGGTCACGGCTAAGGCTAAGACAAACCATGATAATCGTTGCAAATTGGATCATAAAGTCTCAAGTAACATTAGCTGCGGCTATACCGATGATTGAAAAGTGTATAGATGCCTCTCCAGACTTGGTTTTATGCATCATGTTGTGGTGCACAAACGTCATTTTGTTGATCCAACGACGGGGGTCCATACAAACAACATTGAGGGCGTGTGGTCTAGGCTGAAGTATTTCTAAAGACCCTACCACGGCTCCAGAGGACGATTATTATGGAGTCATATGGACGAGTTCTTATACCGCATGCACTATGATCTCAAAACTTCTGAACCTTTATCAAACCTCAACAAGTTCTTAAATCATGTAAAAGAAGAATATCCATTGTAATTCATTACTTTTTTAGAATATATTTTTACTTTATACTAACTCTTTTCTGATTGGCTAATGCTCTCAAGGTCACTTAAAAATTCGTTCAAAGGTCGTCCATAAAGTAGAGTTTCACCAAATTTAGATCTCTTTTGGAAATATTACCAATTTGTAGATTTGGTGAAGCCGGACTCTATTGGTACTGAACCCAAAAGTCACAACCTGGACCTCAACAACTAAGTTTAAAAGCAAAGTGGAACAAACTTGATTAAGACTGTATTGACCACACCAACAAGATATAATGCGTTGTGTATTTTGATTACGAAGCGATAAAGACATAAAAATATTAACGCATTACCGCTGTATGTCTTTTAAAGACGTCTCAATTAGTTTTTTCCATGGTGTCCAGTCGTCTGGGTTGATTTGTGTTTGGGATTTTGCCAACTCATAAAGATCATCCCATATGTCTAAATGAGCTAACAAACTGAGCTTCATGGAAGAGTAATCGCAAATGTAGTCCTCGTTATCTATACGATCTATTGGAATGATTGATATTATCTCAGTATAGTGCCTTTTTACCTGTAATGTCTTTTCGACTAAGAAGTTTATAAGCTTCTTCATGCTTTTGAAGGCGAGCAAGTAATTCTATTAGCACCTGAAGCTCAGAATGTCTAGACATTTTTCCGTTCTCGGCTTCCCTGATTAGCATCTTCTCCGCCAGCGGCAAATACATACGATGCCCCATTATAGGATTTGACTCGGCTTGCATTATTGTGCTCATTATAACCCAGTAGTTGAACGCACTTGACGGGAATTTTTGTAAAAGAAGCCTAGCAGTTGCTTGCTGTGCAGAAAAGTTCCTTTCCTGAACATGATGAAGGAATAAACAGACCAACAAATCTTCCCTGTTAGGTGATCTTTCAAGAGAACGTTTTAAGAACTCAGCTATTTTTTCGCCCTGTCCAGTTTTCCGAAAATAACACATGATGACATTAAGTGTAGACTCATCAGTGGGGTATGACTTAATGAGTTCGTTAGCTAGCAGATTGGCTTCAGTAATTTTTCCAGATCTATGGAGTGTAAGTGCTTTAAGTGCCTAGTAGAAATCTTATAGGATAAACAAGTGATCAAACCTTTGCTGACGTGCAATTTGGTGTTTTTTTGAGAATTTTATTTGCCTCTTGGAGTGCCTTTTTATAATTGCCACTTTCGAAAGGTTCTGTAGTACTTTTATTTTTATCCAATCTGCTGATATAGAAGACATACCGACTATCGACCTCAGCCGAGACTCCTGGAAATCTAAACCAACCGACATTCCGAAGAGACAGCTTTAAACCACGCGGCTCTGAAAAGCTTGAACAAACGCATTATTTGTAGTGGTAGATAAATCCCCCCCCCAAAAAAAAGATTCTGTTAGTCTTCAGTATTATTACTGACTAGTTTGCTTACTAGTTTCAGTGAAAATACCTTAGCATCCTCGCCAGATCACAATTGGTTATGTTGTGCTACTCATCTCTCGCAACCATTAGTCAGCTTAGTTCACCTATTTTCAGACCAGTTAAATATCCTCCAAATGTATCTTCGAATCTCGTCATTCCTAACCCGTTGAATGACCAGGTTTCGGGTCTTCAATTAAAAAGATGTTGAGGACAACGGCGTTCTCAAACCATTGATATTCGTGACATCTTTATGTTATAACCATAGGGGAAAAACGGTCCGTGTCAGTTGGCTTTCCTGTCTAGGATTAATAACCCAGTTATGTCAACTCCGGAAAATTATTGATAAGGAAGGATTATGTCATTACATCAAAGGAGAATTGTGATGAAAGATTCGAAATACAGATCAGTCATCTTAATCTTCATAGGTGTATATGTCATGACAAGATAAATCGAATAAACAACTCGAGCAAATCACTGAACAACGTCAGTTGAATTTCACTGGACCATGTAGTCAAAACTTTTGGACATTTCTTCAGTCTTAAATAGAGTATACGATGTGGCGGTAAATAAATCTCCAAAATAAATAGCTCTGTAAGTCTTCGATATTGGATGCTGACCACATTAGTTTTAATGGACTCACCTAGCTGAAGGCGCTCGGTCATGTATACGCACCGGATCACGAGTGGAAACGCCGTGCTCAACATCCCCTGCAATCGCTAGCCAGTCTAGCACAGTCGATTCTTGATATAGTGAAAATTCCCATTTTGCCATTTGGTAAATAAAGAAGGAACGAATTGAGAGAAGAAAGTTCTTTTCAATTCTTGATATATTGATAGCCTGTCGAATATGTCTGCGAACCTTCTGTCTTTTGCTTTCACTTGGTGGGTACGGCTCATATTAGGTGATACTGGTTGAAACATTGTCAAATTCAAAATACTTGTGGCATCTTCAAAGACAAGGTGCTATGCCCCAATAAAATCTCTATTGGTACTGGTGACTAATTTAGTTGTTGCACGATAACATTTCGGTTGAATCACTTTTGTCAGTCTAGTTGACCATGGCTATAGAACCTGAACGTTCTGTTATCAGACTGCTATTTACTCACAACTTACCGAAAATTACTCCGAATTCATAACTCACAATGGCCTCTGAATTAACTAGCTAAAGTCGTTTCCCCTACACATTTTACGGCAGCCCAGATGTCATAAGACGCCCTCTCTATCCATCAGAAGTTTCGGTTACTAACGTCAGACGTCCACTTCAGCATAAGCTCGAATATAATATCCCCCTTTACTAATACCATCTTCCTAACCTGTCGAAGTAGTACATGTGATCACGCCTCCCAAAAGAATTTAACATCAGTATCTGGCTACATCAGTATATGACTACATCAGTTGTATGCTATGGAGTATACCATCATTTGATTCCTCTCCGAAACAACAAGGAGTCTAGACCATGGACTGTCGCAAATAGTCTTCGGTGAGTGACACTGAACCGTAACCGAATGACTGATCACGTAAAATGTGTCGCTGGCTTAAAGAACTAGTCGGAGAACGCTGAATGTTTAACAAGTCCTGAAGGTCATGGATCGCTAACGCGGTTTTATTATGTACTACAGGTTGGTCATAATCTGTGTAACGTAACCCACTCTAATCTGTTTTCTCAAAATGCCATATTTCTAATGGGCGTTTACCCATTCTTTAAGCCTTTTTAGGTGATAAAGGGTAGGATAAATTTACCAATCCTGTTGTCCGAATTATTACTATTCACAAACAGATTATTGGTGTATAAGTGTTGTGAAGAAACCATTTCGGGTTTTTTGGGAATGCAGTTGTACAAAAGTTTCAATAACGTTTGCAGAATATTCGTCATATCTAAACAAATTCTATAGAATTTGGAAGAATATTAAGCTGACTTCAAAGAAAGAAAAGAGGAAAAACGTGGAGCGAAATGTTCAATATATAAATAAGTTGCCAAGCATATTAGTGAAAATAGAATAAGAATAAACGGTGATATGAGTATTACCAAAGGAAACAATAAATAAATAAGCGAGAAAATGAGTCGTTGATTTAGTGTGGTTTGACGGTAGAATAAGTGTTTGTGTAGTAATAGTCTAGAATAATGTCATAAAAATCCTAACTAATTGCAAATGGTGATCAAATTCAATTTAGTATGCTGAGGATAAAATGAATCCGGAAAGTTAGTTCGTCCCAGTGTAAAATTTGTGCGGTTATTGAGAAACAATGGAAAATATTTTTGACAATTTGTCAAAGCTAGTATCCTCATGGCATGGTCTGTATATACACCCCACCGGTAGAAAATTGTTCGGATCAAATTCCATGGTATCCAAGTGGAGTCATATATAGCAGCAAGACATCCATTCTAAAATGTTTGAACGGGCATAAATAATTTTACCTCCCCCTATTCCATGGCATCTATCGGTTCGAGGGAAAATGTAGTTTAAAGAGTCATAGGACATGGATGATTTGCACTACAATGATTGGATTTACAGGGAGTAAAATGGTTTTAAAATGGCTGACTTTATTGGAGGGAGCGGGCATTGAATGAGAGAATAGAAAGCCGAGAGGTATCATCGAGGAGCTGGTTAGAGAACGGATTATGGGCAGTAGCTCCGTGAATACCCATGAGATTAACTAAGATAAGAGTTTTGTTGTGGGGAGGACTAGATTCAGAAACTTTTTTATCATTTGTAATGTACTTACTGTTGCCAGCAGAGAAGCCAGTGGAAGTGCATAAAAAGTCTCCTGATTGTTATCGACTTTTACATCTGGTAGAAGCACTGTGCACATCTTGGGAGCAGAACCAATAAGGTTATCAGGTTTATTTATGAGACCAAGTAACCATTTATACTTGATGGATGTGTAACATGTTCCAGACGTTTGTTTCCAAGGTTTGTGGCTGCTTTTAGCTCCCATGTAATTTAGAGGGAATCGAGCGTTAATTAGGTTTAAATGTATCAATGTCTAGTGCGTGGTCAGTGTTAGTTATGCCCATAACTAACCAATCAAGTCGTTACTTAGGCGCCCACCACCATGTCAATCTGGCCCGAAGTGTTTGTAGACTATCCCTGTTGCATGTGACCTGTCAATTAAAAGACATTATTATCCTATTATAATAGCCTGACTTACAATTTTCATTCATTTCTATATGATGCGCTCTACTGGTTGGTATGTTTCTGCGTCCCACATTACTAATGCGATTCCTTTTTTATTTTACTAATGCAGTTTTTCTTATGTTTAGGAATGGATAAAGTTTAAATTCAAGATGTTTTTTGTTCTGACCGTAGTTTTCACATAGACTATGGTATCGCCAGTATCGCGTTTACATTTCTAATCGATTATCTGTAGGACAACTTAAAGCACACAGTCAGTTATACAGTATCTATAGATATTTTCCCCGTTATTCGCCTCACATTTACTGCAACTGGGTGTTGCAGTGACGGGAATTTGAACTTTATTAACTGATTCATAGTCAGCACAACTGTTCATCATCAGATCTATATCAACATTTTTAGAGGAATGGACGTCATTTGGGTTGAAGTTACTTTATTCTAGGTTCTGAATTTTAAGAGATTCAAGAGAGTTTATTGATGGCGGCCTACCTAAAATCTGAGATTTTTCCTCAGAACCGGACCTAATTTTATGACATTTGGGATCAGGAAACGTTTGAGACATTGATGCTAGTGCCTTTCTTGCTTTTCTCTCCCATGGTGTTCTATGAGAATGATTCTTAACATCCCTGAGAATCTTTTTTTAATGATGGTATTGGATAAAATTGGAATTCTACTGGCGTTTACGGGTGTTTTGAATTTGAATAATGTCGGTAAATACAAGCTAGGTTGACTTGTTTTCATTCTTGTGCATGCACATTGTACGTATTTCATGTTTCTGGTTGTAAGCGGCTTAGACCTAATAGTTTTAGAACGTGTTCTTGGTATATCAAACACTATTACATTGCAGGATCGTCTTATTCTTTCAAACGCCTTTGAATCAACATGATCCAGGAAATTATTTATGTCGCCCATTTGATCTGGAATTTCTGAGAGGTTTGGGTTGACAAGATACTTAGGCGAATCGAGAATATTCACGTCATTTTGCTTACGTCATCCATATAGTTGCAGTTATCAATGTCATCATGGTTTACCAACAGAGTCTTTAACATATGTGGAATGGCGATAACTGGTATCAGCTTGTCTGTTTCGGGATGTGTCGAGTAGCACGACTCGTTATATCCACCGTGAAGTGTCGACAGAAGTGTTAGATCATGAACGTTTCATACATTTGGTTAGACGCCTGGAGTCAGAAGCTTTCTTTTTTTGAGGCATAATTGAAAAGTGAATAGTAGCAGATAAATTAAGGGAAGTGTTGAAATAAAAACAGGGGTGCAAAAATTAGGTTGGAGGAATTAAGATTGTTCGGAAATCATGAACTGTGTTTAGGACAAGTTTAAGAGTATCGTGATCATCAATAAAAGTGACAAATGGAAGGGGAAGAAGTGGCTGGAAGATCATAGTAATGACGTAGTATATAGGTATACGTTTGAATGTAAAATAGAACAAAACTGTGCGCACTAGATAAATTTTACTCTCGAGATTACGTGGAAAGAACTGTTTCATATAATACAGCAACCTAGAACGGTCGATATTCGGTATCAAACGATTCAAATGGGTGGTGTATATGGCATATATACAAACTGAAAGCCTGCGCAATGGTGTGCAATGGTATGTAGATTTAAAGAGGATTAATGCCAACTAGAATTAATACTACACTTTATGACCCAAATATGTGAAACGGTGTTCTCGGTCAAAGTACTGACCAAAACCTATAACAGACTCACTGGATTGAACAAGCAGTTACGAAAAAACTGAGTAATAGTATCC